GCCACAGTTGAGATGTTCTTTATAATGACATTGTTTACACTAAATTGAGCTGAAGTTCCATTAAAATGCTGAGTCTCGGTCTCTTTGAAATTTTCTCACTGCTCAATGGGTGTTTGGGGAGATTGACGAACCATAGAAAAATGGGAAGGGGAGAAGTAAAAATCTCTAGACTGACACAAGTTCCCTCAAAAATGGGAATGGGACCATAGAAATTACTAGAAAGTCGTTCCTGGTTGTATAGACAACCTCAATAGTGTTTTTTGGATACTATTACCTTTATTGATCAACTTTCAGATACACTGGCCCCTCTATCCCTATTCTATTTACCCAGCTCGTTAAACTTTATGTATTCATTACCAAGATGTCCATGTGGTTGCTTTGAAGTCCATTTCTATTGTATCATAACTGATTCTAATTGGGCAATGGTGTTCTTTCTGAATCCTTTCTGGTAACTGTGATGTGAGTCTACTGAATTATCAGAGGCCACCTCTGACCTACTGAAAGCTTTTTGGAGGGAGAGAGGAATGAGGAAGTATCAAATAGGAATATAGATGGAGATAAAGACATAGCTTCAGGAGTACTCTGGGTCAAAACCCAGTCGCCTGGATTTTATTTCTTTTCTTTTTTTTTTTTTTTTGAAAAAATGTATTTTTTATTTCATAAGCACTGGGGGGGGGCGGGGCGGGACACTGCACCCTATCCTCTTGCACCATGCAAACAGCTCTTAAACGAGATTCTTCAAATTTTTCGTTTTTTCCATTCTGGTTCATTCTTTGATTCTTCATCATCAGATTCCACAATGGGATTGGGCAAACATGGTTTTAGGCTGAGTTTTGGAATACGCCGGCGAAACCCAATATGGGTTATCTTCGGCTGCTTTGGCATGACGCAAAATGGCTTCTCGAGGGTTACTGTCATCAGTCTTGTCCAAAGCAATGTTTTTCACAATGTAGGACGACAGGGTGCCCCCATGGGTTCCAACTCGGCCACCACGACCTGGGCCTGCTACAGGAGGTTCTGGCTTGTGTGACTTCAGGGGGTCCAGTCTGTCCTTCTCCAGCTGTTTCCTCGTACTTCGTTGGCGGGGCTCACGGAACATGGGCAAGGCGTGAGGCGTGATGATGTAGTCCTGGGTGAGTGTCTCAGCTTGTTTGGCCTTCCGCTGGGTTTTAACCACACATAATTTTGCTCCCCTCTGGCTTTTGTTGGGGTCGTAATACACTTTTGCCAATCCATTTCCAGTTCCAACCATGATCTGGTTCAGCTTTGGATGCCACAGGCAGCGGACAACACTCGCATCTGTGATGTCAATTTCATACACCCTTTGGAAAGTCCTGCGCTCAAAGAAGACAAGTTTGCCATTGCCACATCCCCTTTGCACAGAGGTACCAGTGACTATGAGTTTATCATCAGGACTGAAACAGCAGTCGGTCATTGGGAACAAGGTGGGAAGGTCTGAGGCTGAAAATAATGGCTTATTAAATTGTCGGACGTCCCATAATTTTAATGTATCATCACCTCCACGAGAGGCAAGGACATTACCATCATAGGAAAAAGCCACACAAGAAGTATCTGTACCAGGGTCATGGGCCTGTTTATAGTGGAATTTGGGATGAACTGTCAGGTTCCGGTCCCAGATCTGTATGCTTCCGTTCTGACAGGCAGCTGCAACAAGGTTCCCATCTCTACTGTACGTACACGTCGTGGGAATGACCTTTTTACCCTGCATTGTCCGAGGTTTAAAAACACTTTTCTGCTTCTTTGGATTTTCAACTTCCCAGAGCCTTACAGTCGCATCATTTGAGCAAGTCATGAATTCTCCTTTTATTTTGGGATGCCACGA